AATAATCACTTAATATTATTAAAAATAAAAATAAAATTGAATCTAATTAAATAAATATTAATAAAAAAATTATGGAAAAAAATTAAAAAATTAAAAAGAATAAATTTATTAATAAAATTTAAAAATTCCAATGTATTAATGATTTAAATCATAACCACTATCCGTTAATTTCAAACCGCTAAATAAAAAATTTTATAAAACACTTAGTTTGTAACAGTTTTGAAATAAATAATTTTTTCAAACATTTATTTTTAACCGATTTGGGTAAAATTTTTAATTAACTCAAAATCTTAAATTCTTAACAAATCATCTCACACCTTAAACTACCCATTATTTTCTTATATTTAAGCAAATCACTGCTTTCTATACTTCAATAAAAAAGATCACAGCGGGTCTGGGAAGGCCGGCCATGACCTGACAAACAAATTGTCCACAACAGAAAGCACCGGCCCAGGTTCCATTTTCCTCCCCCCGGTTGCCACGTGGCACTAGCTCATAGCCCCTCTTTAATCTTACTTAAAGTCTTATAAGTATTAATTAATGTCTTAATTAATTAAGCCATAGGGTGGTTGACATGGAAAGTTACTTTTTGACCTTTTTAAATTTACAAGTTATTATATATTTAAATTAAATAAATATATATAATATAAATTTTAATTTTAAATCAAATATTTACAAATAAGTCACAAATAATTATGAAAGTTTCGAGTCCAAATTCATTTTTTTATGGAGTTTGATATTAAGCTTGACTTTTTACTCATTCACCAAATAAATCAAGCTCAAGTTGAATTTATCTTGAATAGCTCACCAATTACTCACAAAGTACTTCACTCATTAATAAACATAAGATTGATCAATATATTTTTTAGCATATTATCAAGTTAAATTAATAATTACTAATTATTAAAATTTCCATCATCAGCGCAGGCATCATTTTGCCTCAAACACACACACTAGCTGATTGACAGTTATTAATAAGCTGTGTGTAGGTCCACCAACCATTGCATTACGTGTAGTGGAGCGGTTAACATCCAAAATTTTTTGCTTCTTTGCCAAACTACAATTAATTATAATGAAAATTAATTTGGTGATATATAAAAGAATTAATTCAAAATACTCTCTCTCTCTCTCTCTCTCTCTCTCTCTCTCTCTCTTTCTCTCTGCAAATTAAGTGGTCATGACTCATGAGATATCATAAATAATTTGTAGT